GGTGCCACGGTGCACTGCGCCGTCGTCATTTGACCCTAGCCGACTAGCCTTCCTGACTCGCTGTCACAAGTCTAGGGACAAAAGTAGTAAACCGGCTCACTGAAGCATTGGGCAATGGGCGCCAACGTCCGTCCTTGTCGGCGCCGACGTTGCGGTCCACGGGGGGGCATTGACGGCTGGGTGCAGGTACCGGAGTGCATGACAGAGAACAGCGACCGATTGATCAACCGAAATTAACAACACAGGAACAGAACAGCCCACAGCCCCAAGTGCGACAACCAAAGAGCAGACAAACAGGAGACACCTAGGGGCAAGCCTGCAATAGTGAACTGAAAACCCATGGAATAGGCGGGGGAAAGGTCCAAAGCTGAAGTTGGAGATAAATCAAAAGTGGGAAACTGATAAACTTGAAAAGAGCATAGAATAATGGCCCGACCTATAGCAAAGAGCTGAAACATACCTTTGGGAGAGCACAACTCGGTGGCCGTTGACATCCTGAACCCATCTTGTCCTGACTTTGGCTTTTCGTACGCTGGCGTATTGAGCCCAGACATGAGCAGGTCATCGGCGTCGGAACGGGATCCTGTCGAGACGACCGAAATATCTGAAGAGTTGGACAAGGTTCTTCCAGTCATTGCAGGTCGGGATCGCGCCCGCAGGTACGCTGGTGGTTTGAATGACCGACCCAGACTCGCCATGGTTGATTCCTCCTTGATGATTCCTGATGATTCTTGGTGCTTGTGACGATTATTGTTCATGCCATGTGCTGTGCCGTGCCGTGCCCCTTGTCGTGTAAGGTGCTTGCCGCAGACTCTGTTTATAAGCAGAGGCGGGAAGGAAAATGGAAGCTTGACTAGATGAGGTTGAGGCTCATGCGGGTGCGGCGTGTCGGCGTCCTCGTCTTCGTCCTTCGTCTAGAATGAGATGTGCGTGCGTTCGTTTTCTTAGCCAACCTCATTCGGTTGGAATCCTGTGCTGGCGGGTATGGGCTTCCAAGGCTCTCTCTTTAACTGCACGTCGCCAGACGGGCGCAGGATCAGATCAGAGAAAGCGGGTAATTTGGTGGATATGTGAGGCCTGTGTGGAGGTGGATATCATGTAAGAGCAAGGGCATGTGTGTGCGGTGAGGGAGACAGTAGTCGCTCTTTCGTCCCCTCCCTCCGTGTTGCAGGTGATGGATTTCGACCTGACAGGGGCCCTGTTGTAATTGCGGAATGAATGGCTGCGATGTGCTTGAACTTGTGCCTCTGGCGTATCCTTTGCCCACTGGCTGTGGTAGGAAACCAGTCGCTGTTGCTGACTTGGAGTTGTTTCGTGTAGAAGGGGCCAAGTTTCGTCGGAGTAGTAGTTGCAGTGTTGTAGTTGAGGAAGGAAGGGTGCTGACGGATTTAAAGGCAGCCGCTATTTTTGGAGTGGAAGGTAAAAGTAATGCTTCGCTCCTTGGAGGCTTTTATTCATCAGGGCTCGGCTTGCATTCAGAAACAGGCTGGTACTCGTGTTGGGCAGACTGCAGGGTCCTCTATGTTCGAGCACAAAAGAGATGATCTTTCTGCAAAGGGTCAAGAGCAATGGATGGCATCGAAGGATCAACGACGAAGGCGCGTGGAAGGGTGTTGGCGTCTGGGTCTTGCTGGGTTTACGGAGTATCTCACATCTCAGAAGGTATCCATTCGTAATGGTGTGTGGGTTTTGGTGGGATGGTGCGAGATGCGGAGACCGACCAAACGGAATGAGGGAGGCAAGGGGGAAACGGTTTCGAGGGTCTTCTGTTGCTAGCTTCCATTGGGTTATTAATAAGGGCCGTTGACTGTTAGGTTGGCCGTTCCATTGCTCCGGGCACCTTATCTTGCTTCGGCCGTTGAGGTGACCGTATTGGAGGGTCCAAAACCGTCGGACCCGAGTGCCGTAAACGAAATACGTACCTTGATAAAGCTGCGCAAGGTGGAAGGGACCGTAGGTACTCAGATGTCCGGAGCATTGTGGAATAAGTAACGTCTTTGGAATTTTAGAGTCCAGTCGGCTCAGTATCATAACCAACATGGTTCAATTTGTATAACAAAACCACCCTTGTTGTTTGGCTAGCACCTAGATATTCCATCTGCGTAAGTGCATTATCAATTCGAGGGTCCACATGGTAGGTATCTCGACAAACGTGCTCTTCGGTTCTCATCTCCAAGATCGAGCAGGCACCGTCTTTCCGCAAGGTGCCTTGGTAAAGTTCCCTCTCACCTGCATTGACTTACGCCGTAGAGTGCGTACCTATCTTTGGATCGCACATGCAGCAAGGTACCTCAGTATTCGTGTGGTATCGTCATCAGCATGACAACTTACGAGGCAGATGCTAGAGAGCCTCCCCGTGACAACATTCACATGGCAGCTCCTTTTATCCTGGATACCCTGCGATCTGAGGTTCCTGCTGCGCAAGGAGCTCAGCCGCAAAATTGAGGTTGGCCATTTTCACCGCTTAGCCTACACTATCTTGACTTACATCAGGAGCCAAATCATCCAGCTAGCACGGAACTGCTGCCGTCGATCTTTCATGTCGATCATCACCGGGTTTCCAAGCCTGACGAGAACCACATCGAGGGCTGTGACATCCAGTCGGATGAGCCCTCGCACACACACGAAGGTCGCTCTTATCAATCCTGATACCCATGGCTTAGAGCCTGTGGCTGCGCGAGCGGGCAAGTGGCAATTCCACGCATGTATGCCATGGAGGCAAGACTATTCTCCTACAAGACTATTCCCCTGTCGAGCTGGGTGTAATAGTGGCTGCTGATTCAGATTGTCACCATCTGCCACCTGTCTTTAACTACTTGCGGTATCCAAAAGCGATCGAAGGCCTTCTCCAGCCCAGCAGCTCCATTGCAAAGGATCCGACTGTGCCACCTGAAAGCCGACCCGCGCTGGACGGAGAGATAAAAGACATTCGGTTCAACGCTTCCGCACTGGCTACCCGGAGCCTGCTCGATAGAAACCGACCGTCGTCCAAACGTGTCGTTCAGCAGTTGTCTCTTTTACCCCTCATGCTTTCTCCTCCACTTGTCGCAGCATATGGACGGCACCGTCTCTGCTACGGTCCAAGTATCCATACAACCCCCTCCGCCTTCAGGCTTTCGGTCCTAGCCGATGAAACCTCCGCATCGTCGGGCGTTTATGACTTTTCACTCCGTCCCGCTGCTACCACTGGCGGGGCCCACGTTGGGAGAGACAGGGAGCGGAGGCTGTCGTCTTAGTGTACATAACGCTAGAGAAGGACCAGAGGCAGAGGTTGAGAGGGTCTTGGGATGCCCACTTGATTCATTCATGGGCCATGATCCAATCACCCAATGCATGTCCTGGGCTTGACCTTTCAGGCTTTGAATCGGAAGCAGCAAAAACTGTGCTGATCTTGCCGCCGATCGCTTCCGCCTTCTCAAGTTTGAATAGCCTCAAGGCCGCAGATGCTTTTAATGGGTCGATTTTTGGCCCAAGGTTAGAAGCGTGAAAGGATACAGCGGGTGCTAGGCACCGCGAAACGGCGAGTCCTGTCGGCTCACTCCTATACCCTGGGTTTCCCGGCTTTGGTTGATACTGAAGTCTCACTTTGCCGACTGCCGCCGTCACTATCGTCGTTCGCTCTGGGTTTACAACAGGGGACGTCAAAGCGCACCGACCCCCCCCCCCCGGGTCTTCCGTCGCTTACATCCCGCTTGCGGCTCTCCGACGGTGGGATGAAGGTCAAGCCTCAATGATGCCCGCCACCAAATGCCCTCTTAGATCTCGTCACGGACCTATTCCGCTAGTATTTGCGGCCCAAATTTCCAGTCTCTAAAGTGTTGTAACGCGAGGGCCGCTCAGGTGCATTGGGCCTATTCAAGAATATTTGGCCGGATTTTTCTGAAGCGCGCTACCCTCGCCAATATCTGGTAGAGATAACCAGGGACGAGCGGACTGTCAGGGTCGCCACAGACACTACGTCACAGCGCAGCGGAGACACGACGTTGCTTAGTGCCTGCGGGGTTGGAAAACATGACCCCTGGACCCCTTGCTTTTCCTATGTAGGACTTTTGAGGCGCCGGGTCTGGCGTGCCTAGCAGTCACGCAGTCAACTGCATCCATCTGGTCCAAGGAGCGGTAGAACGGCTCTGGTACGCTAGATTCAGGAGGAACACCTCCGGGCTGTGCATTGCTAGATGGAGACAGCGTTTTCATGCACCCACCGCACGGTACAGCACTCGGCTCAAGAGTTCCCTGAGGGTTTCTGGGGCCGTCCACGATGGGATGGATGAAAGGGACTTGAGGCGCAGCATTCTTGTAGAGTGCCCCTTGGGGATAGACGATCTTGTAGGAGGATCGAAACTCTAAGGAAGGTAGAAACGCGGGGCCGCTCACCTCCGGCAGGGACAGCTACGCCGGCGCCGACGACGGCGCGGCGTGTACGATTCAGTCGTCAGGGTTTTCGAAGGGGGGACACACAGTCCCCGTGTCAGTACCGGCCGGCCCCGGCTAAGGAAGACGGACGGGCGTCAGGTTGAGCATCGTTTGTTTTTTCAGTAATCTACTCTTGACTTGATTCTTTTCAACGCAGGTCTAGTCACCGGTATAATCTCTCTGACATCTTACGTGGATAAGTCTGGAACATGTTTGCAAGGGATATGGTGACAGTCGTATGTGCCTATGGTGAACAAGTTGGCAACCACGGATTTCTTTTCTCATTAACCTCACAGCCAATTCGTACATATGGTGTCCGAAGTAGGCGACTGACTCTAGGATCTCTCGTAGGATTGGAATTGTGGAAAGAAAGCAAAAATACAAGATAAACCTCGCCAGGGTTTTGGTATCGTGTTTGCGGCAGAATTAAAATACTCCAGAACACCGGCCTCGTAACAACATTATCACCGGATCCCGAGCGTTCACCTCGACCATACACTCGCACAATACCCACTTTCATCTACTCAGTAGACGAGCTCTATCACCCCTTGTGAAGTAGGCCACGGTTCGCTTTGAGTATCGTTTGTTTAGACCTTTCCACGGCCAGTGAAGCGGGTACGGCGCTCGCGGTGTCTCCACCAGTAGGCGGCAGTCGCCAGGGCGCTGATGAGCCAGAGAAGGGCGTTGGCCAAGTCGACCCAAACGGCGTTCTTCATGCGCTGAATGCCGCTGTCGCCCTCTGCGTTCTCCTTGATGTACATCTGGCAGGTCAAAAGTTAGTATGAGTAATTATGGCGAGAGAGGGCAGTGGGTAGGTTTGCATAGGTAGGGAACTAGTTTCGGTGTACGTACATTGCCAAAGAGACCGAACAGGGCGATCCAGAGGATGAAGAGGATGGCATCCCAGATCCAGACAATGGCGAAGCGCAGGATGAAGGGAATGAAGTACAGCAGAGCCGTTACGGCGGAGAGAGCGCCGACCACGACAGCAAAGACCTGTTTTTGGGGGGGCGTTGTTAGTCCTCGTTTCTGCATCCGAAGCTCCCTGTTTTTTTTTTTTTTTTGGAGCATAGAAGATTTTCTCACCCATTTCCCGTCGGTGTAGCTCCCTTCACTTCTAGCGCGGTTGAGGTCGACGGCGTAGAGGCCGCATACGGTGACGGCCAGAACGAACTGGAAGAAGTGGAGGACGGAGAAGGCGAGGTAGCTCGCTGCCATGCCGAAGAGGCCCATCTCGGACTACGTTTTATCAGTGGTTGACCGCTAGATTGGAGGAGTCGTATGTGTTGGGTAAGAGTTCTTGCGGATTTGGAAGTGTTGGTTTAGCGGAACGATGAGTTGAGGTTGGGATGAGCGATGGTGGCAGCTTCACCGGGGTAGGCTGGAAGGGAGAGGGGGGTCTTATTCAAATTAAGGCTGCGAACGAAGTTTTTTTTTCTCTTCTACGGGAACAGACGGCGGTGGTGAAGGCAACCTTGGCAGGTAATGATGACACCAACCTATGTCGAGCAAGGTGATTTAAGGTGGGCAGGGTCAGATGGAAGGGTAGCAGCGCCAGTAGGTTTAATCACACCACGAGGAGGGCGCTAGGGTGTGGGAAAGACACAAACAGGTTGATCGCCATCTTGCTTGTCTCAAACCGGTCGGATTCCCTCCAAGTCCCACAACTCCCAGCGCGTCCTTGGTAGGAAAAAAAGAGGTCAAGAAAATCTGGGAAGATATGAGTTGGTCCCCTATGACGCAGCACGAGGCCTTTAGCGCGGACGACGAGCCAGTCAGGAACGCGACTACTCCTCTAGGTGGGAGGTTCGCGTAGTTTTGATGAAGGGGCCCAGGGGGTGCTGTCATTGCTGTCATTGGATGTGGCCGTCTTCTTAGCCCTGAGAGGTTCCCGGTCTGCTCCTTGAGGTGTTGTTCAGGCCAGGGCTTGAGGGCTCAAGGTCACTGGCTCATGGAGCTGTCGACGGGCAGGTGTCAGTCAGAGCAGCTGCCGCAGCTTGGAAACTCTGCACGTTTGCTCTGCTGGCCTGCGTCAGGGGAAGGTGCATGCATCGAGGACGTCAGACCTGTCAGGTACGAGATGAGATGCCTCTACCGTTTGTAACCAAGAGGGAGGAACTCGACCTCATTAACACGATGAGTTGACTAGGTATGCAGTACAAGTAAGGTAAGGTGGGCATCATCGGCAGCATCTGAGCAGATTAGCAGTCTCACTTCAGCTGTGCCAGACAGTCACCTGGCCGTAGTAGCACAGCGCTTCCATGACACTGGTCGACTGAGCCCTCGGACGATGTGACATGACCCTACTATGTAATTTGACCTAGATTCTGATGTTTTGAGCACTTCCGACCCAAGTACTCCTCCCTGTTGTCGTTGCTCTTGGACGGCCCGAATCTGGCAGTGTTGGAAACAAACCTCGGACGGCACCTGCCTAATGATGACATTTGTGATCGATCTTTCATGTTTCTCATGTTGCTGACTGGCCATGTTTCTGAGCTGCTGATGAAGACTGCCCGCAAGACTGGGTGAACCGAAGCGCTGGGTTCCTACCAAGGTAGATCAATATACCTACGGACACTCGGTACACCCAGACGGGCCATTCTTCACCTCGGCAGGTACGAGAGTTAGACTCAGTGTTAGAAGCTATTTCCTGGTCTGTTCTACATGTTGCTCTTGCTTCTCCTCACCACATACCCACTTCCACGTGCAGGATAGGGATGGAATTGTTAGTCAGTTCTCGGTGAAGAGAGCAACCTGGATTAGTTGACCTTGACTTGATGCTGCTTTCCACTTACGCCCAAAGGCGCGCGCATGTTGGCCCAAAGGTGGGCAGGTCCGAGCCTACCCAACGACATGCCTCGGATGCCGCAATCCTCCCCCGCAGAGGCCACATCCGACGATGCCCATTGCCGCGGTGCACCCATCTACAGAATGCGAATACTCCGTACACACTACCATTAACCAGATCCAGTCCACAACGTTGTTGTTCATCTTATCCGTTCCACAGCGTAAACGTTGACCTCTCGCTCGTTGACTTCCCCTCCAACTCGTATAGCAACACGAGACAAGCAGAGACAACACAATGACGGAATCACGCCCCAAAGTCGACCTCCCCACGCCCCCCTTCCACCAGATCCCAGGTCTCCCCAACTTCCGCGACGCCGGCGGCTATCCCGTCGATGCCCTCCCGGCCGGCCGCATCGTCAAGCCCGGCATCCTCTTCCGCTCCGCCGAGCCCTCCCGCCTCACCGACGACGGCGTCGCTCGCCTCCAGAACCTCAACATCACCCACGTTTACGACCTCCGCTCCGCCATTGAGCTCGAGCGCCTCGCAAAGGCTGGCACGAGCTGCGACGTCCGCGAGTGGCCCGGCGCCACCCGCATCTTTGTCCCTGTCTTTCGGGACATGGACTACGGCCCCGAAGCTATCGCCTTACGGTACCGGAATTACTCTAGCAACGGGCCCGAGGTGAGTTTCTTCTTCTGCAAGCCACTCCTCCCCCTCTCACCATTTCCTACTTGTGCCGGTGACCAAAAGGGGGGAATGGCTCGCCACTCTGTGAGATTATGTGTGAAATTCTAAAACAAACGTTTCCGTAGGGCTTCACAAAGGCCTACACCGACATCCTCCGCGCCGCTTCGGAGGCAGACCACCCCAACGACCCCTTCCACACCATCCTTTCTCACCTCGCCTCCACTGAACCCCCGACTCCGCTGCTCATCCACTGCACCGCTGGCAAGGACAGGACGGGAATCATCTGCGCCCTCATTCTCAGCCTCTGCGGCGTCTCGGACGAGGTCGTGGCCCACGAATACAGCCTCACCGACATTGGTCTCCAGGATCGGAGGGAGGAGATTATTCAGCATCTTCTCGCTACCGAGGCCATGAAGGGGAACCCCGAGGGGGCTAGGCGCATGATTGGATCTAGGTATGTGCTTGCTCACCATCACTCAATCACCTACTATACCTATTGCTAAACCCCGCTTAGGAAAGAAAACATGCTTGCAACGCTGGCTGCACTCCGCGAGGAGTACGGTTCGGTCGAGGCGTATGTCCAGAATAGATGTCGTCTCTCGCCAGACGACATCAGCCGTATCAGGTCAAACCTAGTGGTACATGCTGACGACGGACGTAAAGTAGTCGACTGGGTCTCACATACGAAGTATTTGCTCTGATAGGAAAAAAAGGGCTTATTGGAAGGAATAAAATGCATTTCTTGCTGGGCTGGATTGAAGCTTCATCCTTTGAAGCGCGCCCCTCCGCTTGAGTCCGTCGTCATATAGGGTTACATGTATATAAGTACAGTTGATAGACACAGACGCTTTATCGTAAAGCGTCCACACGAGAACTGAGCCAACATGACTTCAGTTCATCTTCTGATTGGTTTTAGTGGCTGTTTTTGAGCCGCTTCTCCTCCTCCAGCGTGCCGTCGCCGGTTGTGATGTAGTCGGCAATAGGCAGTAATGTCTGGGTTGGACACGTTCAAGGCACCGATGTGGGAATCTTCGTCTCGCCCTTCCTGCGGTCATAGAAGGGGACACCGTATCTCCAGCCGACGCCTCCTCTGCTGCGGCCGTTCTTTCCGACGGTCTCGACATTCATCTCCTTGAATCTGAACTCGAAACGACCGGTATCAACACGCGTCGTCTCCTCCTCGACCTTTTCGAGACGCTTGCGCTCTCTCTCGACTAACCTGTCCTCCTGTGCCCTCGTCTCGGCGCGGAACTTGCGCGTCAGCTCAGCTCTGTCGCCGCCGTTGGCGGCCGCCCTCCTCATGTCAATGAGCTCCTTGTGCGGTGAGCGATCGTCAATCGAAAGCATGTTTCTATGGAAGGCCTTTGCGGCGTCTTCTCTATTGAATTGCCGCGACTCAGACACGGGCACGAAGAGTTGTTGCATCGTGAGCTTGTGGACGTGGATCTCATTCACGGGCTCGTGGGGCCTCTGGTCTCTTCCTGCGTCCGCCAGGTAAGTCTGGGGAAGCATGCTCATGATGGCCTGGGCATAAGGTCGAGCTAGTGGTTTGCGCTGCGAAGAAGGTTCCTCAAGTCAGCAAAGACTGTGTACGTCTGAAATGATGTGCGAAACATGAGTTGAGAAAATAAATAGTAGCAAATCAGAGAGGCTCGCAGTGCCAAGGTGTAACCATATGTTGCGTCTTCAAGACTAATCGAATTTTGGAAAGTTGATCATCATGATGCTGGGGTGGGTGGAGAATGAATCCACCGAAGGGGGGATTTGATGGATTAAATGAATGGTTATGCTTACCTCTGTTACCCACTGCTTCTCAATCTCCTTCATCCGCACTACGGCAGCGACGCGGCGAACATCGATACCCAGCTCAGCCGAGACGAGCTTCAGCGACTGCTTGGCCACCGTGACCCTCCGGTAGACCTCGTCCCTCAGCCTCTCGCTCAGCACGGGTTCGCTCCGGAAGAACGGGTTCATCGGGAACGGCTGCTCCCTGGAGCCGCCCAAGTAGTTGACACCATTCTCAGAGTCTCTCAGTTTGGCACCTCTACCAAGCTTGAAGAACTCGTGCATCCTGTGCTGCGCCTTGCTCCTTCTCGACTGGACCGGCGTCGTCGAAAAGGCGCATCGCGAGCCCGCATACGCGGCGGCGGACGCATCGCACCACTTGGTCGCGAGGACCAATGGCGACAATGACGAGCCCGCTCGTGCCGACATTGTGTGCAAAGCAAGAAAAAAAGAAAAAGGTATTATCTCGACGCAGAAGGTGCGCCGTGGATTGCACCGATTTTACGGCGAAGCAACCATTTGGGAGCTTGAGTAAAACGTGGGTGTGGTTGTTTTGTGAAGAAGGGAGACTTTTTAAAGCTCCGACCGATTTTTCTCTCGTTTTCTTAGGAGAATGCGCACGGACCATATCGCGGATAATTTGCTTTGCTCAATTGGCCTTGTGCCTCAGGACAGGACAGGACCGAAAACCGTCTCCCAAGCTCCGGACTCAGACCCACCTACCGGTTTTCAACATCCGTCTTCCGGCTATCAGATAATCCCATCCAGTCCCTCCCGTTGAGTACAATCGATAGAACTCAGATATGGTGAACTCGGGTCTGGCCAGGCACCTCTCGTCATTTTCTTTACCGTGCAAACGTCTATAGAATCACAATTGAGCTATATCCTTCACCTCAATACAGTATACCTACCAGGCCAAACATGAAGTCACGATCAATGCGTGTCATCTCAGCAAAATCCTCTATTAAATGCG